ATGCTCAACGTCACTCAGCATCCAGGAAATGCAAATCAAAGCCACACTGAGATATCATCTCACTCCAGTTAGGCTGGCTATTATCAAAAAGATTGAGAATAACAAATGCTGGCAAGGATGCGGAGAAAGGGGAACCCTCCTACACTGTTGGTGGAACTGTAAAATGGTGCTGCCATTATGGAAAANGAAAGGGGAACCCTCCTACACTGTTGGTGGAACTGTAAAATGGTGCTGCCATTATGGAAAATGGTATGGAAGTTCCTCAAACTACAGACAGAACTGCCATATGATCCTGCATTCCCATTGCTGGATATATACCCAAAGGAAAGGAAATCATCACATCAAAGGGACACCTGTACTTCTGGTAGCTCTATTTACAATAGCCAAGAGTTGGAACCAGCCTAAAAGCCCATCACGAGTGGATAAGGAAAATGTGGCCGATTTATACAACAGAATACTACTCTGCTATAAAAAAGAATGAAATCCTGCCATTCGCAGCAACATGGATGAACTTAGAGAAAATTATGTTAAGTGAAATGAGCCAGGCACAGAAAAAGAAACACTGCATATTCTCACTAATATGTGGGAGCTAATAAAAATAAATAAGTAAATAAATAAATAAACACCCCCCCCCCAAAAAAAAGATAACAACAATCACAATAATTTGTTGAACTTTTTAAGAGATGAGAACAGAACTGAGGTTGCCAGTGGTGGGAAAGGGGAAGGGGGAGGGGGGAAAGAGAGAAATTGGTAAAGGGTCACAAAAATCCAATACATTGTATAATGATAAATTAAAAAAAAATTAAAAATATTTAAAAATCAGCTTCATTGAGATATAATTCGCATACTGTATAATTTATTATAGTCTCAGCACTGTGCAGCTATCACCATCATCAAATTTTAGAATTTCATCACCCCAGAAAGAAACCCAGCACCAGTTGACACTCACTCCCCATTTCCCTTCTTCCAACCCTCAGCCTTAGGCGACCACTAGTCTACTCATATTTTCAGTCTCTAAAATTTACCTGTTTAGCACATTTCATCATCATGGAATCAACAGCATGTAGTCATTCATGACTGCCTTATTTCACTTAGCATAATGTTTTCAAGGTTCATCCATGTCGTAGCATGTGTCAGTACTTCACTCCTTTTTATTGATAAATAGTATTTCATCGTATGGATACACCACTTTTGTTTATCCACTTGTCAGCTGATGAACGTTTGGGTTGTTTCTACTTTTTTGCTCTTACGAATAACCTTGCTAGGCACATTTGTATATGAGTTTTTGTGTGAATGTAAGTTTTCATTTCTCTATGGTATTACCTAAGAGTAGAATTTCTGGGTAATATAGAAACTCATGCTTCATATTTTGAGGAACTGCAAAACTGTTTCTCAAAACGGCTGCACTATTTTACATTCCCATGAGCAATTTACGAGGGTTACGATTTCTCCAGATCCTCGTCAACACTTGTTATTGTCTGTCTGTGGATTATAGCCATCCACACCATGTGTGATGTGGTGTTTCACTGTGGTTTTGACTTGCGTTTCCCTAACGACTAATGATGTTGATCATCTTTTCATATGTTTCTTGACCATTTTTATATCTTCTTTGGAGAAATATCTTTTCAAATCCTTTGCCCACTTCGTAATTGGGTTATTTGTCTTCTTACTGTTGCATTTTAAGAGTTTGTTATATACCCTTGATATGCCACTTAACAGATATATGACTTATAAATATTTTCTCCTGTTCCTTGAGATATCAAATAAAATTAAGTTTAAAGTAAAAGTACCAACACTTGATTACACAATGGCAGCTTTAAAGTAAGGAGAATAGAATGAAAATGATGCCTCATTCGCTCACTCATTCAACAAATAAATACACCTACCATGTGTTAGGAAGTGGGATTTATATCACACATAATTTACATTTGATAAACAAAGATTAATTAATATTTATTTTGCTTTTAAACACTTTTCCCAAATTGCCTTATTTTAAATTTTTTATTAATTGAATCTTTCTTATTTGGTTGTATTAGCAACCAAATAAGAAACTGATCACCACATAGAATGAACAGTCTTTTCAAAAGAATCTACTGCATCTCGGAAGTACACTGTGAAGGACTTCCTTACCTTATCATTCCAGAACTTTCTATAGCTGTGCAGTATAGCAATCACCTTCCTACACTCAACATCACTGAAGAAAAACATTATTTTGATGCATAAACTTATACATATTTTTAAATTTGTTTTTTATTAGCATATTCATTGTTGCAAATCATACTTATTCTTTATGCCCCTTATCTAATCTCCACCCTCCCCTCCCCCTCCCCCTTCTCCCTTCACTCTTCCTCCTCTCCTTCCCCACTTCCCACTCTCCCTCTAATAACCATAGATTTATTCTCTCCATCTGATAAATTAACTGTTCCTTTGTTGGTTTGTTGCCTAGATGATCTGTCCAGTACTGAGACAGGTGTGGTCAAGGCCTCCCCTATTATTGTAAAGCAGATGCTTCTTTTATCACTCTGGAGTATGCTTTATGGAAAGAGAGGACCTCTTCTTTTTTTTTTTTTTCCTTTGGTCTCCACTGGTGCCTTTCCTTGTGTCTATGCAGTTGAGAGTCTGGTGTGCCATCTGCATGGTCACTGTCACTGCTACTATAGAGACTAGCCACTTTTGTGGCAGCCATGGCAATTGCAGTAGCTCTAGTGGGCTACCCACGTGGAAACGGTGTTTTTGGTGTGCTCTTTACCTTGTTGCGGCTGGGTTTGGCTTCCCCCAGCTCCAAAATTATACATATTTGTTTAAAAACTCAACCATGTTACTGGGTAGCTATATTTTCTATGTGTACTTTAACATATGAAATAAGTTCTCATGTTTAAAATCTATTTAATGAGTACCTGAAGTTTATATATAAAAGTGAATATACTTGCCTTTAAACATCATGACAACTATCAGAACCATGGAAAGTGTATGTGAAAAATTCTAAGTTCACCACAGTTTCATTTTTCAAATATTTCAAGATGCTTTCTTTATATCCACTATGGAAAACTGATGCATAAACATGAAATATTCTACAGTAATTAAGGCAGTGTTCTTAGATTTAACAGGACAAACATGTATACAAAGGAAGGAACTAAAATTATTTAACACATGCAAATTTTAAACAGACTGTCAGACAGTATAGCATGCAAGTTGTCTGAGCTTGTCTATCAAGCATGTTCCAGAATGTTAACCTCAATGGGAGCTTTGCTTTCATGACAGGCTGTTTCTTCTGGACTGGAAATAAGGAACAGCAGCATGAAGACCCTCTTTCTTCTGATGACCTTTTTCAGTCTTTGCTTAGGGATGAAGAATTAGTAACAGATGGAGGCTTTCTCAGCTTTTAGCAGCCAGGGAGATGAGATAAAAAATCAAGAAAAAAGGAATGCATTCTACATACTTATTAAAATTTGAAGGACCGTGGAAAAATACAGTTTTTTAAAAAGTAGCTCAGTGACTGTGGATACAACATTGTAGAAGACAATGAGGGGGGTGGGGGGTGGATGAAAAATCACATCTTATTTGGGAACATGTGACAATGTAAGTTTCAGCTGAAACAGATAGTAGGAGTCAAGTGATTCCTTACCAAGTTGGGTGACAGAAGTGACTGAAAGTGAAAAAGAACACCTGCATTGGCTATCTGTTCCAGCCACCTCCTGCTGGCTTCCCAAGTTTCCATCTCATTTTCTTTGCTGTTGTCAAACATCTGGTTTAAGGCTGCCATGAGCTGTTCGGAGAAGGCACAGACTGTGGCCACGAGACTTTGGCAGAAAACCATGTCTCTCCGGAGCTGTGTCTCACTGTCTGTGATCCAAGAGAACGTAAAGACAGCTTGAAAATCTCATAGATGGAGAAAAGCAATTCATTAGGCATTTACGTTCACTGTTATTCCATTTTTATCACTAAACTCACACCATGTGAAAGATGTAACTGAGCTCTATTAAGTACACAAATTTTAGCAATGTCCTTCTTAGAAAAGGCCAACCACCAAAAATTGGTAGAAATATTAAAATAATTTGTCTTAATTGATAGTGACTATTCTGCAATCATTACATTATTTTGAGACCGAGGGAAAAAATAAGGCTTCATTTACTTATATTTTCTTTTCTTTACACAATTCACACTTGCTGCAATGAAACTTTCCTAAAGGAAACTCAAAGTACAATTTTTCAGTTTGTGCTGCCAAATAAAATACAATATTATTAATACTATTTTTTTAATTACCTACTAAACCTACTCAAATGTTAATGTCAAATGCACATGGGGAAAAGAGTATTTAATGTCCAACTGTTTATAAAAATAATTAAATCTGTATCTCCTGAACTAAGTTGTTCAGCTTCATAAACTATAAATAAGTCCAAATTTAAAGGAATATGAATTCTTATATTTCTTTGACATGAGTAATGTACAGTTTTAGCATAAATTGACTTTCATGTTTACTAGAATTCTTATCCTGCAGCTGACTGGATTTTCGGTTGACCCACTTTGCAGGTATGTTTGCCCTGTTAATTGCCACTCCTGAGCTGAAGTTTTTTCAAATGGAAAGAAGCCAACACAGAGGGTTCATTTCTTTGAGTGGGTGGACATATACAAACTACATAAACTGCATAGACACCATGCTGTACATTCTGCACATTGAAAACTCACTTGTATTAAAACAATAACAAAGGAAAAAATAACCTCTGCCCCAAAGAGTATGGACTATTTGCAGGGCTCATGGAAACTTCTGCAATAAAGACACATTGTCAATATTAGTGTATAACATACAGATAAATGCTGCCTTTATTCAGTGTTGACTTCTTGTTTTATTGACAAAAAGGCATAATTTTTAAGATGTTTATCAAGAACATTAAACATCTGTTTTTAATAACCATCAAAGGCATGTGTACACATAATATAATTCCTTTGTGTTACTCAGTTTCACTGTTACAACACCCACGCTTGAAAATTTTATTTTAAAAGAATTAAATATTAAAAATAATTCTATATTGAAAATATTCATTTATTAGGTTGAACTATGTGAACTTGCTGCTTTGGTCAGTCCAAATGGTTGAGTACAACAATTCCATATGGTTTAACTTATTAATTTAACCAACATGTATTAAACATTTCCCTTAAGTGGTTCTATCCCATGTGCTCCATGCTACTAAATGGGAAAGAGCGTTTTACAGGTAACTATAAAATGTCCAAACTGGGAACAAACTTTGTCCAATTCTCAATTAAGAAAAAAACAAAACACCTATTTTGTTGTGCACAATTTCTAACAGAGAGCAGACATTCAATAAATGTTTCTGAATGAATGAATAAAAATAATGACTGAGTAGAGCTAACAAACAAATGAATTCAGTGAAATGAAGATTCCTGAGTTCATTTTCTGGCTTCTTGAAATGTCTGGATTTAGTTTGACTTACGAGGGTAATTCAGATAGCATGTCAGCTCAAATGCGCAGCTAGAATACTGAGGCTGAAGATGTATTTAAGCCAAGTTAAGATTTTCATTCAACCTCATTATCAAATCAGAAGTGATCACAATTAACATTCACTAGTCTTTTCAATATGCAACACCTGTTGATAAGTAACTGCCACATTTTAACACTGAATATCCCACAGGAAGTAAACATTGCACCAATTACTGGAGATACGGAGAAGTCCAAGTTGGGACCTTGGCTGTGTCTATGCTCATAGTAGAGTGGTAGAGGTAAATACACAAGATGTCTTAGACCACACTGCCATTTAAATTCTAAACCAACATACTTTCAGTTGAAAGACACTTAACAAATGCTTATTACTTCTGGAGGTGATTTTCAGTTTCCACCTTCCTATTTTCAACAGAGAGTAGAAGACTCGTTTGCATTGACTTCAAAATGCACATCATGTATCAAGAACTTTTCAAGTAGCTTTTTACAAATTATCATCTCTCACAGTGAGTGACAAAGTTAGAAAACTCAATGGCATAAAGGGGTCCTCACAACTTTTCTTCAACTTCTCAATGTGTCACCTCCCTCCATCCATTCCACAACCAGCCACGGTCTAACAGGGTGGTTGTGAGATTAGTACGATGTATCTGAAAGCCCCTGGAACAGCAGGCTGTGCAAACCTCTCTTGTTTGAGCCACACTACTGCTCAACGTTCCCCAAACATTAAATGCCCTGATAGCCCACACTTGGTCTATGGGCTCCCTCTGTCTATGGGCCCTGTCCTCCCCTCTCCACCTAGCAAACTTTAAGTCCTTCTCAAGAATCAACTCATCAAACTATTGAAGCACACTGAACTCTTGAAATATTATCTTCTCTTGTGAAATTTCCTCCCTCCTCCAGTAAGTTCTGTAAACTTAGTTATATCACCACAAACCTGGGAACATCCCTCCACCACCGGGCGAATCTCATAGCATTGGGAGGGTTTGTCTACCTGTTTGTGTTCCCCAAGGGACCTCAGCAAGGCCAGGGGAAGCAGCATATCATGGGAGTTATGCTCACAGGCCCTAGAGGCACAGAATCTGCTTTCATCTACCCATTTTAAACCATATGACCTTAGATATCAGATCTCTATGTGCAAAATGGGGGCCATTCCTACTTCTTAGATCTGTGACAAAGATAAATAGGATAAAAACATTTAAAGCACTTAGAGTAAAATCGGGTACCATTATTGTGATTTTTCCCTTCTCTAGCACCTAGCACAGTGCCTGGCACTGAGTAGGTGCTTATTTTTATTGCTGAATGCAGAAGGAACAACATGAAAAATAAAGAAATAAACCAAAATCTGCTAACTCTCAGTAAAAACATCCAAGTCTTTTCTTTTTAATTATTCAGCCAAACAAAATTCCTAAGTGTCCATCCTTTACCAAAGGTATTCTTATTCCCCATTTTTATCAATAAGAAAGAACTACAGT